CAGGCGCGTTGACGCGCAGGCTTGTTGCCGCGCAGGCGCGTTGGCGCGCAGGCCGCCATATTCTTGCAAACGACCGAAGATTGCGCATCTCTTACTTGAGGATCTCTAGAGTAGGGAGGCGAGGCGCGCCGCTGCCCGTCCGCCGCTTACGCGACCGCTCGCACGTCTCCCCGCGCGGGGCCGCTAGGCCGACGCATCTCACCGCGCGCTTACATTCGCCAGTAGGTTGGGCTAATACGGCGATTTTTAAAATTTCGTATCTCGATAACTATTCGTCCAAGCGCAAAATAGTACAATACTTTTCTGTTTGTCTTAGTCCCCTCTACCTTCCCATGACCGGAAGTCAATATGTTGCGTAGCACCCTGTAGAACGCACTGCAATTCTCACAATAACCCCAAAGCAAGAAAAACAACGTGCCACTGCAGGGCTATCCGCACGCGCACACCATTCTCCTTTGCGAACCCCAGCACTGCTGAAAGGATCTATGGGAGCTCGGGTTGATCACGCACGCGCACGGGGCCCGTACAGATTTGCGCGGCTTTCCTTAACAGTAATCAAGCCGCAATCCACCGCACAGCTAGTCATGCTCAATTACCGACCCGACACATAATAATTTCAACCCACATACGCATACACATACATCTATGTGTGTATCGTACCAGAGAGAAACCTGATGCCCATTCTACACCTAGGGATGATCCTACTTGTGGCTCATCCGATACTCCCTTCTATACCTAAAGCTAATCCTACTTACAGCTTATCCGAGGAAGTAGTATAAAGTGTAAAAGTGTACACTCTGGTTGGTTTCCAATCGTACCAACGTACAAACCCAAAAATTTTCTGATTAGGTTAGATCACGGACTTGTTAGATCTTGCTACGGACGTTAGATCTTACAAACAGAATTTACAGACGCGAGGTTGCGAGTGGTTGCGAGACAAATTCATTAAAGTTGTTGACTGCAAAAGGTAAAAACACAAATTTGTATAACACGTATAAACATATGCATAAGGAAATAGCCCAGTAAGAAATGATTCGTCGATCGACGTCGAATCGATGTCAATTCGACGGTGTCGATGTCGATTTGACGTCGTTTCGACGTCGTACTATCGCATCGATGCTATATTGTCAGTTGAAATCGATTATGTGTTCGTGCGCGCCCAGCAACAAGTTCCGCTCGCCAGAACAAAAGACTGTCGCCGTTCACGATCGGACTTGCACGCACATGTCGCCGGCCTGTTACCAAGCGGCATCTTTCCATCTCTTTCTATCGTGTCTATCTTTTTACTTCTTCATTGTTCTCTACTTCTCTATTGCACTTTCCACATTTATTCTCTCGTTATGCTCGTCAGCTACGAGGAATATTATTTACTTACCCTCTAATCTTCTAGATGCTGCTCTTTTTCTTCTAGTACCCTTCACCGTCGTCTCACGCACGCACGAAACTTTTTCTTCGCGCACGGGGCCCGAACAGATTTACGCGGTGGAAGCGTGCCCTGGGCCCGTAACCTGTAGGAAGTAATTCCCTGGACGGCTTCCGTGCGTAATGAGATGGGCAGTAAAGGAAGATAATCCAATATCTTTATGTCCTTACAAACTCTATATGTATATTTGGTATATCGTCTGGTACACTGAACACGTGCGTATTGATACAATGGTGATCCAGGCTCGAGTGAGTGCTAGGACCTCGCACGACCGCGTGGCGCGCTTCCAGCCGCGCCACCAAACCGGTACTGCCCTCTCGGAGGGCGGAAGCACATCGCTCGTTCAAAGCCCCCTCTCAATACTAACAATAATATCACATAATTTACCTGAAGTGTTCCTTGAATTGTTGTCGTAAATATCCTGATACAACTCGTTCAACGTAATCTGTTAATTTTTCACAAGAAATGTTCTTCCCTCTAGTACTTTCCACCATAAGAATAGCATACAAAGTTGACATTTCAGTTTCCTTTTCATCACTTGAACAGTTACTTTCATCACTACTGCTATTTGAAAAACATGAGTCTTCTTCTTTCATTATAACAGAAGAAACAGATATTACTGCAATTAATTGCGATTTGGTTAACCTTAAACTGTCCATACTGTTGTTGTTGGTCTGGATATTGGCTCCCGGTTCCACTGGGCCGATACGGCCACGACAAACCAATAGGCGTTGTAGAATTATGAGCAAGTTTCAATTGGTAGTATTATACGATGCAGGGTCCCGACTATCGGACCTCGCGCGGGATGATGCAAACGAATGATGCAACCACGCAGGATAAAAAGTTATTCTTCTAGGTTAGAAGACGTGCGGCACGCTCGACGTCCCGAACAAAACTCGTCCATAACGCATGAGAACTGTTCCGTTATTAGAGGTGCACGATCCAAGCATGAAGTATATTTGAGAAACGGAATGAGCTCTGCACTTCATGTCCTGCACTAGTCACTCATGCACATCATGCAAGAAACGGAACGCACCCCAGGTGTGACAGGTCAGCACCTAGCGTGACGTCATGACCACGTGCTCCCCTCCTCCCGCGGTCTCCTCGCCATGGAGTACCCCCTCCCCGCTCCACCCTCGCCACGGGATACCCCCCTCCCCGCTCCCCCCTCAGAGCTCCCGGGTTAGAATCCCCCTGTAAACTACTGTTAGTACCACGCCTTCAGTCGTTAGTCCTTGAAATGTTGACCGGATATGGCGTTGAAATACCGCCGGGGAATTACTTAGTCCAAAAGGAACCACCAAAAACTCAAACTGCCCATCCGGTGTGACAAAGGTCGTGAACTGAATGCTCTCCTCATCCAACGATACGTGGAAGAAGTCGTCTTTTAAGTCCAGGGTGCAGAACACCGTCGCCTCTGATAACCTATCTAGCTGGTCCTCCACAAGTGACAGTGGATACCTGGTCCCTTACCACCTTCCGATTCAGCTGTCGGTAGTCGACGCACAGTCTAGGCTTCCCATCTTTCTTCTTTGCCAGCACGATCGGACTCGCGTACTCCGAACTACTGGGACGAGCGATTCCCTCTCTTATCCACCTGTCAATGATTCGACTCACTACGCCCGCTGTTTCGCTAATAGCCTACGAGGACTCTGATGAACTGGTACCTCGTCTTTGAGCATCAGATGCATTTTCACGCCGCTATCTTTTGTTTTACGGGGTTGGTAGTCATCTACCAATTCCCGCACGCTCCTCTTCACCCGGGCATCTCTCACGTGGTTCAGAGAAACCGTGTTCCTTGTCCGTTCGCTCTTTTCACCTGGAATATTTATGCGTAGGATTTCGGGCCAGGCCCCATCGTCTTGCGCCGTTCTGGTGGATGTCTCCGTTTCGTCCTCGTCAAGCGTCCTCAGCGTCGCCATCCGCCTTCGAATGCGGACCTCCGCAAAATTAGACAGTTCACCGCCTATGAATAGAGCGTACGTCATGTAATCGTCGGTGTCCAGGGTAACAGTCAGGCTGTCAATTATCACTCTTGCCGTAAATCTCCCTGTACTTTGGGTGGTGGCGGCCATGCCATCAAACTTCACCGTCTCTGGCCGAATGGATACTGCACCATGTTGTACGTAGAAACTCGATCGAACCAGATGCAGGTCGCTGCCAGAATCGATTAACACCGTGACATTCTTACTTAAAATCTCTACGGTTTTGTGCACTTTCTTGTCGTCGTGCGACCGCAGAGCGTTAACCTTGGTTGACTTGGAGCCCTTGCTCGTCGATTCAGCTCTTCTCTGGCGTTTGGCCGCGATGTGCCCGAATTCGCCGCACGAAAAACTTGGACCCTTTCGTCTTATGTGGGCACTCCTGACTTAAGTGCTTCGCGTCGCCGCAATTGTAGCACCGCTTGTGATTGGGCATCGCCGTCAATTGGGACGCGTTGGATGCTCCCTTCTTCTTGGCCGCCGTCTGCAACTGCTGTTTGTTCTTGTTCCTATTTATTCGCTGCGCCTCGTACAACGTGAACCTTTGTCGAAGTTCTTTAATCGTCATAGCAACGTACAAAATGGATTTGTTGACTTCCTCGTCCTTCACGCCGTCAATAATGTATTGGATTTTGACCTCTATTTCTATCTGAACGTGATTCGCCAATTCCAAGACTCGATAGATGTATTCCTGGAACGTCTCGTCCGGTTTCTTCGTGACTGGACTCATCTTCGTGGGAATTTTTTGTTTTTAAGAAGTTTATCCTGCTCGCGGTTTTTGAAACCGCGGATTTTTTCGCGTGGCCGTGAGGCAAATGTTAGGGCAGGGACAGGGGGAGCCTGCAATGGTGAAGGGTTCCCGGGAAGTTTATCTTTCTCCCGTTCGAAGATCAAGACCCAAACACTCAATAGGTTGCAAGAGGACGTCAACGACGATCAGCTCTTCCCCGAAGACGCCGGTTGAGAAGCCGCAGGGATCAAAACAAGGTTCTAACTCCACGCTCTGCGGGACTGAGGCTATTGGGATACTGTCCCTCCCTAGATTGTCGAGACGACAATTTAAGGAAGAGGGGGAGCAGTGTTACGCTCAGTCAAGACACCCGGTATGTGGCGCGTTGCCACGTAGTAAAAACTGCTGTTTTGTTTAACAAGAATCTTAATTAAAAAAAAGTTTCGAAGTTTGGCTCTCGCTGATTGCGGACGTGAGTCTGGGCCACGCTTCTGTACGATAATTAATAAAGATCGCTTTCCCTCGCAAACAGTGTTCTCCTATTATTCTCACGGGCGCGCTTGCGAGTGAAAGTGCTGTGTGAGTGAGTGCCGAGAGTTCCGCTTTCTCCCACGGACAAAGGCACAACAATATTTTATCACAAATCATTATTTCTTTTAATAGAATGTTTACTCTTCAAAATGTACTTAAAACCTATCGTTGCAAAAATACTTTTATTAAAAATTGATTTACTGTCTCATATTTTTTGCAAAACCCCCATAACTTTTATGTCATAAAAATAGATTTTTCATATTTATTGATATATAATATTAAATTTGTTATCTTGAATTACATCTTAAATTGTATTTTCTATATTGTATTTTAGGGTCTCTTGATAAGCATCGAAAAGTTTACTAGAGCATCAAACAATCGTGAAAAAGTCATCCTTGAAAAGTATGTGGATCGATACGCAACGTTCATTTTGGTTGTTGCAACGTCTTTTATCATGGCAGGAGTCACTGTTATTTGCGCTCCTTTATTTATGCCTTTGGAATTTCCTACGACTGTGTGGTATCCATTTTCAACAAAACCACTATTACGAAAATTTATTCTCTACATCATGCAAATATTTATAATAACGCATACTGTCCTTTGTTTTGGAGTGGACGTCATGATTGCTGTCTTCTTATTTTATTCGACAGCTAGAATAGAGATGCTGTCTTTCGAAGTAGAACAAGCTGCCAATGAAATTAGTATTATATCATGTGTAAAAAAACATCAAGAAATAATAGGGTGAGTGTTAAAAATGAAATATACCTTTATGTACTTCTTAGTATTAATTACTGCTAGTAACTTAGAAGGGACATGTTACACCTGTCGGGAACTGATTTGATTCTCCTTGAAATATGTTGTTAAACAAAAATCTAAAAGACACGTATTTTTTATGTGCGGATTTTGATGTTTAAGGGAATGAAACACTTCTTTGAAAAAAAAACCAGTTTCCTCTTTCGACGCAACACTCTTGGAAACTATAAAAGATGTTGATACAATAGAAAAAAATGTTCTGAATAAAAGTTAAATGGTTTAAAGGGTACTTTAAAACGGTTCGAACAAAAATTTTTACTTTTTTAAATACCCCACCACTTATCACTTTTTCATTTTTGACATTTTTATCACCAAATGAAAACTTACGGTAATTATGGATAAAAGGGGCATCCTCTCTAATTTGCTTTATTTTTAAATATGTTGTTGGGGATGTCTTTCCGAGTCATTTCATATACATATACAGGGTGTAACTAAAAAGACATATATAGAACACACCATCAGATATAGCACAGGAATCCAAATAAAAAAGTCTTTGGCCAATTTTTGATCTGAGCATTCCTTTCGTTGTTATACGTTATATTAAAGTTAGCTAATCAGCGTCTGTCTACAGCGGGAAAGCAGGGACGTAGCGAGACGGAATGCGCTGCGGAAGCAGAACGACGGTGAACAGCGGAGCGGTTCAAGTTATTTGATAGCGTACGATGAAAATAGTTAATCGATTTATTTCATCCATTATTCGTTTTGATTGATCAATTTCTTTTATTCCCTGTATCCACATTAGCATTAGGATACAGACTATTAAATAAATTATCTAGGTTTATAAAAACGCAAAAAGACATCACTCCAACTGTGTGTTTGTCTCTTTCTTTTCATCATTCTCGATGAAGCCCTAACCGAATTTAAGTCATCGGAACACCTCGGGCGTTCGGTACGCGCATAAGTCTCATAAATATTAAAGCCGCGGTTTCGTAGATAAGGAAGCGGGATCTTTGAAAGGATCACATAATTAAGCCATACCATTTCCCGCGATACACACATACTTGCTGAGGCATAAAAACCCTTGCGAGTCAAGGGAAAAGCCCGAGCAAGCACTTACTTTTTATTGATTCTCAATACCTGGCCCGTAGTATTAACGGGCTCAGGCAGCAGCCAATCATATACATGCCCATTCACATCAGTCACATTACATAGTCGCATTTACATCAGATAACCGCCTCAAAGCGCGGTAACTGTCTCTCCGCGAGACCGAAATGGCTACGAAGCCCGAAATGGCGGTGCGCCGTTACAGGCCGACACCGCCCCCCCCTTACAGGTAGAAACACGCGTCGCCCCGCGCGAACTGTCTCTACGCGAGGTAACTGTCGCTACGCGCGACGGAATGACCACGATGGCCCGAAATGGCGGCGCGTCGTTACAGATCGATACCGCCCCTTTCCCGTAGGAACACTCGTCGTCCCGCTGTCCCGTCGGAAGGCACGTCGAACCGCGTATTTATCCGCGGTCGACGCAGTGGGAGGGTGATGCGGCTGGCCCCACCGCACCCCCATTCGCCAGAGATGAGGCTCGCGTCCACCCCGGGAACACGGCCCGCAAAGTGACGAGGCGACGCACTTGGCCACCCCGTCCCCCCAAACCAAGACACAATTGCCGCACCGTGGGCAAGATTAACAGAGCGACGAGACGGCGCCGCGGCGTATTACGGCCGTCCCGCATTCACTACACGCCACGACAGCGAGACGGTGCGCACGCGAGGTACAATGGCGAAAGCCTCGAATGGCCGTTGTCACCCCTACCCCCGCGGACGCCCCACAATTACCTTTGTCCTTCCCGAAACTCGCTCGCTCGCTCGCGACTATGCTTCGCAGCGTGCCAGCAGGATCCGCACCCTCAAGCGAACCGCAGGGCGCTCGCTCTCTTCCAGCGGCAGGATCCGCGTTCTCTTCCAAGGCAGAGCCCTTGCAAAGGCAGGATCGCCTGGGCAGGGTCCGTTGCCTCACCGTCGTCAGCCGCTCGACGTCCGGGTCTCGTTCCCTCGTAATGGCAGACTCGATATAGCAGGATCCGCGGGCCTTCCCGACGGTCCTCGTCCTCTCGTAATGGCAGGCTCGGCAAAGTAGGATATGCGGGCCTTCCCGATGATCCTCGTCCGCCCGTTCGACTCACTGCCTCGACCATTACTGTCTGACTCACCCTGGTCGACTGACTGTTCGTTACTTGTAACGGCAGGCTCGCTCGTGCAGGGACCGACATCCCTCGCAACAGGTCCGTCGCCTGCCTCTCCACTACCGTTACTGTTGCTAACCGGAAGGAAAACGGTTGAGGAGGCGACTCGCACGCCGCACTCGCTCTCGTTCGCACATACACTCACACCGCGCACGCGCGGTCGGTGCCGCAGACCACTTCCGCAGCACCGCGTCAACGCCGCTCCGCGGGTAACCCGGTCGGTCAACAATCTACGGGTCATTCGCCGCGAACACCAACTATGTGCAAAAGTAACGTCGTTTATAAGATTAATTGTAATAACTGCGATGCGTCGTATGTGGGACAGACCAAGAGGAAACTAAAAACGCGAATCAAGGAACATATCAATAACAAAAAACTAGATGAACAAAAGCATTCAGTTATAACTAAACATATGTTAGAGTTTAATCATAACTTTGACTGGGACAACACCCAAATTTTAGATATTGAACCATACTCAAACAAAAGACTCATTAGTGAGATGATCCACATCAAGGAACAAAACAATGGTATAAATTCACATAACGACACTGAACTTTTAGATTCCTCTTATTCTGATATCCTCAATAACATAAAAACAAAACATCATTGTCACCGACCCCCACATCATACACCAACACAGGAGAAGACTCGAATATCGACTTACAATTAGTCGTTTTAAATACTTGACAAGAGGAACATCACAGCGATGCAGATCGTCCTACAAAATCGCTAAGTCCACCAAGCGAATAACGTATTCACACGTACTAATGTGCAATACGACTCGGACCTAACCAGGACAAAGAACCTCGCTATCACATTCAAGTAATTCCTAATATTCTACACGTGCGTTTTAAGATTTATAATCATACAAAAACAATTATGTCATTATTATAGGATACTTACACGCTGAAGAAGACTTAGTATAGTCGAAACGTCGTCCGTTAGTTATTTATTATCCGTTAATTATTTACAAATTTCGTTATTTAATATTTGTTATTTATTATCAAATTTTATATTTAATTTTAACTAAACCTAGGGTTAAGAGAGGAAAAGCGTTACCTCGTATTATACTTCGAATTCATGTATTCCATGGAACTTTGCTCACTGAATTTTAGTAATTAAACATCGACTTTATCATATTACTTATCGCTCGTAAACATATTGGCCTTAATTTCCTATACTCTTTTTTAAATAAAGACGAGCTTGTACTTATTCTTCTTTTATTTCCTTCCCATGCTTTTGTAAACTTTTTAAGATTCCAAGTCGTTGGTGACTCATTTCAATACACAATGAAATATTATCAAGTAATCGGAGGTCAAGTTAAAAAATGCTAAGTTTTAAGTTCGGAAACTGTTTTATAATCCTGTAACGGAGGCGACAGGGGAGGCGCAGCCGATAGAAAGAGACAGCACGACCAGCTGCGCACGGGAAAATCGATAACGCGCGGTTGCCGCGTTGACGGCGGCCGGCAACGCCGCGCCTGCCCCCGCCGCCTCTCCCCGCGCGCCTGCGTCCGGGGAGTATAAAAGCCCCTCCGGAGCAGGCGCTTTAATTCATTCTTGCCTCGGAGCTCCGAGCGACGACACCGGGCAGTGGGTACCTCCACTGCAGGTATAAGCCGGAGTGAATGGGTGCTCCTGTCTTCGGCTATATACCATTCCGGAGCACACAACGGAGGCGCTACTCCGTCGTGGGCCCCGTCCCTCAGTAGCGTACGCCTAACGGGGTGCTCCTCGGCGTACATATGCTACAATTTTTCCCGTACCGGTCTCCTGTATCCGTCCTGACTCCGTTCCCCCCGTGACCGCGGGTACCGCCGGGTTTCGCGGGGACGGAGTGATTCCGCAGTAGCGTACACCTAACGGGGTGCTCCTCGGTGTACGAATACTACTGAAATACACACATAACGAGGCGCTGCTCGGGCGTGTTCCTGACCTGACCTGATCCTGTTTCCTGATTCCTGACCGGTGTAGAACTCAGGGAGGAATATTCGGGTGGGAAAGAACTTCTAATTAATTCTAGTTAAGCCCGTAGAATTAATCCCGTTATTTTTCTTCCTTACAGACCAGAAGAGTCCATACAGACATCCTTCCCGTTGTTGCCAGTATATTATCCGCACTATCCCGTTATTACATCCGTATCATACTATCCAGTTGCTTACTTTATGATAAATATTAATAATCATATATATATATATTCCTGTATTCCGATCCAGTGTGTACCTTCTGTACTCTGTTATCAATCCGGCTAATTATATTTTGTATTCCGGTATCTCAATTCCCGTTGCGTACTCTCCGTATATCAACATAATCCGTCTAATCATATCCTGTCTTTCTCTGTATTTAATCACAAGGCGGACTCATTGTACCTACTAATCCTTTTCTTTCCATTGTATTTAATCACAGGGCGGACCCATTGTAATTACCTCGATTCCATTGTATTTATCCATGAATAAACCTCGTTCCTATCGTTTTCTACCAAATTAGATACTTGTACGATTTATTCCCGATCCTTCCAAGCGATTGCCTCACTAAGCGAAGTAAGATCTTGTCCTCCTTTCCTCCAGACGGCCCTGGAGCTGAGCATATTCGGCACATAGGAGGAACGGAGGATTTATTTAAACCGACACACAGCACGTCAAAACACCGACCGAAAGAACGCCAACTCTTCCAACCGTTAGTCGGAACCGCGCGTCCGACTAATTTCCGTAATAAATAAAACCCGCCGGAGTCCTGTCCGGAAACCAGAACCGGGAAGAGTTGAGCGCTATCGTTACAATCCTCATATTAATAATATGAGGATTACAAAACAGGCAATAAATTATCCGTAAATTAATTTACGGATAATTTATTGTATTTGAGGTGTTGTGCCCCGATTGCATAAAGATGTAAGGAGGGCACTCAAGCATTGTAATTACAATTAAAATAACACTAGCGTAAGCAGATTGCGCGATTGAGCCACAAAAGCCCGACCGCGCAACCTAATTAAATTCGAAGAAGAAGTCAGCATGTTCTCGACCCGATTACGAATGACCGCAATCGAGTACCGAGAACGCTGACGACTCGATCATCGGGCTTAAAACCAAAGGAACGCCCGAGATCGAGGCACTTGTCAATCATGCGTCATTCGATAGTATACGTTTACGCGCTAAGCACTTGTCCGTCAGGCCTTAAGCCTGTCGTAAACCATCAGTGTAACACTCAGCTGAATAAAGCTACATAGTGATAATTAAACTGCCTTTTTGAAGTGACCTCCGACCAGCCACATCCCATCAAAGAATCCTTTCGGTTCTCGTCAGAGAACACCTCCGGAGCGAGTAAGAAGGAAAATACACCGCGCACGGAGCGGCGCGGCAACAAAAGTGGTGACAGCGGTACTGGGATTGTGAACAACTGAGTCGAGAACACTGCCTCAGAGGACCAAGAAATAGCTGAATAAAGACAACGAGGATTAGCAGAGGACTGCGAACGACACGGACACCCGGTAGCAGCCGACGGTAGCAGCCGACGAGCGATAACGCCGAGGGAAACCGGAGAAGCAGCCCTGACCAGCCTCAACCAGCCGACACCCGAGCGGCACTGAACTACGACAGCAGGATTGATCGAGAAATCAACATGCGTCTAATGTAAGTCGTATTAAGACTTTTGTAAAAGCGAGCGAAATTGCCGAAACAAATAAAAGTAGATGTCAGGGAGTGGCCCTGCAACACCGCGCGAAATTGATTCGCGGAGGCTGTTAAGCGAAGCAGCCCGAAAAGCTAACGAAAATCCGCGAAGTTCACACACTGTCAAACGCATATCGCGAAATAGACGAAACCGTGTCCGCCGAAATTTAGAGGAGTACTAGCAGTCCGGCATATAGCTTAGTAAATAGGCACGAGTCCGCATTAAAGTCAATCGCGACAGGTAAACCCGATTCGAAAGAACAGCGGGACATGGCGCACGTGATAGGAACGGATCCGAACGCAGTCGGTCAAAAAATAGACGAAGCGTTAGGGATAGTAGCCGGGGCTAACAGAGACATTGCACCGTTTAAAAGCGGGGTAGTATTGCCCACCGCGCAAAACGACGATATACGAGCTACAGTGTCCGAATTAGTAAGCGTAATACGCGACATGCGGATAGAGATAAGTAAAATCCAAGATCGCGAACGAATACGCGATCCGGGACAGACAGTGGTAAAAAATACCAGCAGACGTGACGATGACATACGATCACCGAAACAATTGACACCGCTTGCACAATATTCCGGTCAGCCGGGAGAACGCAGCACGAACGGAAGGTACATGTCCCTAAAGGAAGCATGAAATTCGATTCCCCCGTTCGATGGAACCTCAAGCAAACTTCAAGAATTTTTACGTGTCATAACTTACACAGTGAAAAGTATCGATCCACTCGACGAAGGAGCACTATTAGAAGGCGTATTGTACACTAAATTGAAAGGCAGAGCCTTGACAGACTTTCACACTAGAGAGATTAGAGATTTTGAACAATTAAAAGAAGAATTAGTCGTGTGCTATCAAAGTAAGAAGAGCACTACGCACTTGCAGCTTGAATTCAACACGTTGAAGCAAAAAACGGGAGAAACCGCGCAAGAATTTGGACTACGGACCGAAAAGTTGGCTAACGAATTATTCGAGTCCATGACAGAAAACATACGTCGCCCGTCAGGGGTAAAACAGGGCATCTT